CAGTATATTATATGATAATATTAATTTATTTACTTATTTAATAATTTATATAAATAATACTCAGGTACTATAGTTCTTGTTAAATCAAGAATCAAGAATAATACTTCATTGTCAGGTAAACAATAAAATTAATTATATTTTGTTAAGCATAATATATTAATAAATTTTGATTATTTTCATTTATTCGTATATTAATTATTTATTATATGATTTTATAAGGTTGATGAAAGAATTAGTGTCGTCAGTGGTTTAATGCATGTGAGGTCTTTGGGTTGAGAAGGGGAGAGGAAAATTTGATTATACATATTGTTGAATAGTCACCAGTTAATTAATAGAAATAGTTAACACATAAATTATTATAAAATTATCTAATAATTAAATGCAGTCTTCAATTTCAAAGATAACTCACCCCGCCCATTTCATGAGCAAAAATACTGTACTTTGCAAGGGGCGCTAACTAGCCCCAAGACATCATTAGTCATCATTTATCCACAATCACAATACAAAAGCTCATATAATAATATTAATGGAATTAATATGGTTAATAATATTGATTAATGGTAATAATATTGGAATTAAGAAAACATCTTGATGAGAGATATTACTTTTGTATGTCTACAAATATATATATGAATGATGAAATGAAGTACATTCATGCATTTGTCATCCATTCTAGGTGGATATTTTGAAATTCACCTAATGAGAAGTTCCATAGAAATTTATTCAACATGATTACATCAAATCGAAGAAGAATCGTTCATAGCTTTGCTTGATTGCGTATTTAGGCCAATGCTGTCACAAAAATGTTGATTGGCGTATCAAAGTGTGCTTTATACTTGTGCATCTCACCTTTTTCCCCATGGTTTCTCGGATAGAATAAGAACCAACCTCACTGTTGACTGAGTAGCCATTTTGGCACTATAATTTCAAACCTAGAATACATCCAAAATTTTTAACTGTATTGATTATAAAGCTAAACAAAATTGTCAGATTGAGAAGAAAGCCCTATTCCCCCTCACAATTCCACCTCTCTTATAAACGTAGGTTCATATACCTTTTCCCAACCTTTCACATACCCCTGCAAGATAAATGATAAGAATATGCTACTTTTCCCTTCTTTGCTGAAAAAAATATGTACTGTACTTCAAGATATACTTTCATTGCAAATATAGAAAATGCAAACATTAAACGTTGAAGTATGTCTTTTAAAAAATTAAACAAATTACCAACTTCCAATGAGATAGTTCAATGCTAATTTAGAGAATTTTACTATAAAAATCTTTAAACTTCTTACCAACTACTTTATGAACCTAACAAATATAAAAAGCATATGATCTGTAGATCAGTTAATTTGTGATGAAAATAATAATAATAATAATAATATTTAATCGGAAATCGCTTTTGAAAAATCGGCAGCCATCACTTAGATGGCGCATCCATACACAGGAACAACACATCAATCAATCAAAAGGCATAGGCCTAGACTTAGTACAATGTAAAGAAATGGAAATACTAAAACAACCGTAAAAACAAAACTGTTAAATAAATGTACATTATATATGATTTAGGCGAATAATACATAAGTAATACACAAGTAGTTATTTGACCAAAGAGAAAACTGTAGGCGTGTAGCTGCTATAGTATCTTACGCTTATATGCAGCGAACATAAACAATAAAAAAACAAATAAAACAAACAACTAAGAAACTGTAAACTGAATCAGGATAAATTCAAATTTTTGATTAAAAGCAAATAATTAAAGTTTTTTTTTTAAATATCAGCATTTCAAATATTGAATTATATTTTCTATGTTTGTTAACTAAACATAAATAGTGCACCTGTAATGCTTGCATCATGCATTGTTAACGTATTTTGTGTGGCCCACGCACTGTAGTTCACCAGTTTTATACTCATATCTTTAATTGCACATGCTGTTATTAAGGTCACATGTAGATAGTATATCTAGTAATATGCAACACAATAACGTTTATGTATATTCAGAATTGTCTTCAATTTATTTGTGGATAGAATTGCCATTTTCATAGATAATGATATTTTCTACTGGACGTTGTGAACTACCTACTATCTTTCAAGCAATTCTGACCAAACTCTTCCCTTCTGTCTATGCTACGTAAAATCAAAGTTTAATTTTAGTTTTTGCTTATTTTTTAAAATTTTTAATAATAATTAGGTTTGTTAGATGCCGCCATCATTATGACACTGTGACTGGCCGGTCTTTTTTTGGTATGCTAGCAAAAATTTGTTATATATGGGTTTTTTGTTCTCCAACCTTAATTTTTTGTCCTTTTGGTCAGTATAGTATAGGTTCTTCATTTTTGTTTTAGGGCACATAGAAAAAAATTATTAGATTTTCACTTTTTTTCTAAAAAAAATTGATGAGGGAGGGCGGTTCTTTTTTTGTTTTTTGTTTTTAATTGGAATCATAGATTATTTTGCTTTTGTTTTTTATCGATGAGGGAGGGACTGTTTATATTTGGTCTGTAATAGTAAATATATATAAAAACTGGTTTAATTTTATAGATTTTAAAGAAAATGTATTTTGAAGTCACAAAATTGCATTGTTATTTTTATGCTGTTAAAAATAATTGATGCGGCAAACAAATTATTTTTTTATTCCCGCATCAATATTTTCCGAATTTTTGACGCGGACGGGAGTGATAATCTAATAAATTTTTCTATATGCCCTTAAAAAGTGCTAGAAATAATGTTCTTTATGGAAGGTGCAACTATAGAAATAATCCAAGTTCATTACCATTATTCATATTATCTGGCAAATAAGGCCTCTATTTTTAATAGATTAACCCAGATGGGCTACCACTTAAAAAATTTCGGATCAGTTACTTTAGTTTCTGCTTAAAATCTTAATTTTTGACTTTGTCAGTGGCAGATCCAAATTTCCAAATATTTTCAATAATGAGAAGTGAAATGTTAATAATTACTATCATTTTCTTAAACACTTGATTATCATTGTAGAATAACCTTCTGAGCTATGTTTCAACATGCAATTTCCAAGTCTTTGTAGATTTTGGCCAAAGCTTGAATTTAATTTTTACTTTTATAAATATTTTTGATATTTTGAAATGACTAAACCATGGACCTATGATTAAACAGAGAGTATTCCCAGAAATTTGTGAAACCTTGTTTTAAAGATTCTGCCTAATTGTGTATTAAAATGTGGTATTTTATCTTTTCTGTGTATTTATCTAAAATACCATCATATTTTTTATTTGATTGAATGAAAATTTAGTATGTAAACCAAATCATACAATTCTATTTTAATTTAATGGCTTTTTATTTAAATATTAGTATTGATGTCTGTAGAGTCTGTAGAGCAACCTGTAAAATGTCCTATTTAATGATTTAGTGATCCTATTCTCAAAATTGAATAATAAAATGAAAAAATATTGTAATATGCTAATATAGATTCCTAGAAATCCATAAAGTATCCTTTTATAGAATGGATGCAATATGTAATTTAAAAATTTGTTTATCTAAATATTAATAATAATACCATCAAATTCACCTCAACACACACCGGTTATCAGATTCTAGTTGGTAGATTTAATTGGACAGGTAAAATAACATAATATTGAATTATGATTAAGAGTTATATAAATATAGAGATTGATACCAGATTATGTAAAAGAAAAAGAAAAAAAATGAGCATGATATCCTTCTGTTTAAGTATTGGCAGTGGCTATTGTTACTCAAGTCTAAAATGATTTCCTATTCTGATTGGATGTTACAGTATTTATATATCATATGGATAGAGCAATAACATTCAATTGGAAAGAAGGAATTTGAGTCTGGTTGACAATATCCACTGCCTTTTACTAGCATTGCTTTTTTGTTAAGTTTATTTACAGTACTGCATTGACTGCGTTTTTATAGACAATAGGGCATGTGCGAGTTTGTGTTGAAGGGTAGATGTGGGAGAGTGTATGGGTGGGTATGTACGCGTTTGTGCATGGGTTAGTGTGCTGTGCTCTCTCTATTTACTGCATCTTCCTCCCCTGAAATAACTCTCCTCAATTTCATTTTAACCAACTATTGCATTTCATTGATGAAGTCCATTAATCTCTTGGGCGAATGAAATCCCTCACAGAAAACCAAAATTCCCTCAATTTTTTTTTAAATTAACAAAATGTCAATTTGAGGAAAAAAAAACCCATGATGGAATTTTTATTTATTAAATTAAAGGTCACATAAAGGTCACCAAAAGGTCATTTGTTGAAAGCCGGTCATTTATTTACTTCTTTATCTTGAAAATATAGATTATTTGCCCATATTTGCATATTATTTGCATATTATATATATTTTTTTTCAGCACTTAAGTCTATTTTCCATGTAAGGGTTTATTAACCATTTTCTTTTCCCCTTTTAAGAGTTTTTAATAATAACATGAGAGGATATTGTTAAAAACAAATTGACCCCAAAGAAAATGACTTCATTGCTGAATTTGCATATTTTCATTATTCTCAGTTCACACAATTAATCATAAGTTTACTTTTTAAGAAATCTCTGACGCAAACTGGGTTGGACTAGCAATGTACTGTAGTTTTTGTTTTACATATCATACTTTCTTTAAAAAATTTATCAATCTGAAATGAGATAAGCGATGAAGTGGGGAAGGATGTTAGAAGGGGTGCAGAGGTTTAGTAGTACTCCCTATAGTATACAAATATTTACTACTCATGAGGGAAATTGTAAAATCTAATTCATTTTGGGATTTCCTAGTGTCATATTACCCTTTGGTTCAATTTAATAAATTTATAATGTGCATATCAAGAATATTAAACTTTAATTTTTTTTTATCTTTACAATTCTATTTTTTGCTTATAAACTACAAGGTTTCCTTTGTCCAACCTGGTCTGCAATGTTGTACTTTATATTAAGTTCAAACTTTAACTTATATAACAAAAGACGTTTTTTGTCTATTGATTTTTATTTCAATTTCATTTTATATCCTATTTTTTCTAGGACACTCGAATATTCTCTGGATTTAGACGGTGTCAATTTGTCAGCAATACGTACAATTCGAGTCCTACGCCCTCTACGTGCCATTAATAGAGTCCCAAGTAAGTTTGAATGTAGTAAAAAAAATATTCTAGCTTATAATTTGGAAAGAAACAACTGAAAATTAAAAGTTCAATGATACAATATCTTTTATGGTAAAATCTCTGTGTTATCACAAATATCTTCCATCAGTGATTCCGATTCATTCTCTTTTCCATTTGCACCTTTCTGCAAAATTTTATATAAACTTTTGATCATCTCATAATATTTGGCCTATTCTCTGGTCACCTCTTCGATGTCAAATAAACAATATTTCTTCAAAAATTTTGTCATAAAACAAATTGGGCTATTTGCACAAAATATAATATAAAAACTGAGGAATGAATCTGGTCATCATTTAAAGAATTTAAATGATTTTTTTCCCTGAAATTTCTGAAATATAGGCAGACAATCATTGTAATTTTATAATGTAACTAACTTTAAAAGAATTGTTTGAACTGCTATCCCATTTTTAAGAGTATATTTTAAAGTTATTTTCTAAAAAATTGTGAAAAACAATAATATGCTAGTTCTAAGAATCTATCTCTAGGTTTACGTATACTTGTGGTCCTATTGCTTGATACTTTGCCAATGTTAGGCAACGTGCTGCTGTTGTGTTTCTTCGTCTTCTTCATCTTCGGTATCATCGGCGTTCAACTTTGGAAGGGGTTGCTCCGAAACAGGTGCTATCTTGATGACAACGTAACATTTCCGTAAGTACAAGTTTCTTCTGGAATTTACCTCCTTTATTCACATTTCAAATCAAGATAGAATTTTCTTTCCAGAAGCACTAACAATTACAAATGGAATTTATTTTTGTTAATTTACTGGCAAACCATAATTGGAAAAGTAGACGACATTTATTGCTTTAATTACAAAGAATCCCAACATATTTAAAACATTTAGAAACAGATGAAAGTATGTGATCATGCTCATACAAATTAAGGACATCAGTAAACCATCTTGTTGTTGCAAGCATGCAACATCTAGTTTGAAGGTCAAACAAGAAAGTTGATCGGTTGGCCAAGAAGTATTTGTTCTGCTTCTAAAGATGCTGGTTCAAACCTATCTAGCTTCAAGTTTTTGGAGTGTAAAGCTGGGTTTCTTTAAAATTGCTACACTGGCAATTTTAGTGTTTCCAGTGCAGTCATTGTACTGCATGGTAGTCATCGACGTAATCGGGAGGGCTCCCCGATTCAATCGACAGCTGTCGGCGAGTGATTGTGTGGAAAACAAGCTTTATTGCTCGTCTTCCTGAATAATGTGAGAGTTAGGCGAGATAAGGGGCAATGGTCCTTGCTTTACTCAATACGAAATTAGTGTTGAGGAGGGTAATTTATAGTTTAAAAAAGTATATAAACAAATCATATCTGCATTTTATTTAGTTGGAAAGATTGTTGTGGCTGCTAAACATCGTTAACAATCCTTAAGTAGTATAATGCTTTAGAAAAATAGATATGACAGCATATAAGCTGAAAGATGCCTTGTTTATATACCATGACCTTTAAAGAAGATTGGAAACTAAAAGGTAGAGATAGAAATTAATATGTAACCCGCAGTGTTATTGTGTTGAATTGCGTATGAGCTTGGCCAGTAATTTAGAACAGCCATAGGTCATCTTTTACAACAATGGCAGTGGAGTATCTAGAAATGGGGAGGGGGGCCTGATAGAACGGGGGAGTCTGTGTAAAGATGAAATTATTATTGCACTCGTGGGTGGCGTCTGGATCTAAATTTTTCACTCTTAAAATTGTATGGCAGCAGCGAGAATATTGAAATACCGATTTTTATTTATTTCCTATCATTTCCATGTTTCACAGCAGTGGGTACAATAAAAAGCCAACCATAAAATGATTTTAATTTAAAATCATCATTATGAATTATCAGTGGATGTTGTGTTCGCAAACAAGGTACAAAAATAAAATTCTCACATTTTGCAGAAATTCATAAAAATGTAGGATTAATCTTCTCTGCTGGAGAGGATTAGTAAATATTAGAAATCTAACAATAGTTCAGGTAATATTAAATTCTTCCTACGCAAGAAAACATGAATAATAATTAGTTAGGCCTGCTTGCTTGGCTAAGCCAAGGTAATTGGGCTTCAGCCGTTACATATTGTCTGCATACATCATTATTTTAACTTATTATACAGTAAACAAGTTGCATAATTAAAGAATGATATATATGTGTGTATTATGAGGCAATTGGCTCAATAATGAAATGGCAATATAGGTATGAATGCAATATGAAATATGCATGTGGATTAGTGTAAGTTATGTGGGAAATGTACAGGTAAAGTGTGTGAACATTTTGCAATTAATCAGATGTGAATAACAGAATTGACTAGATGAGTAGGATATATGATAAATTTAATATAACTATTAGAGTGTGGAGACGTTATCGCATTGTTTTATATTGTTTATGTTAAAAAATGTTTATGGCAGTCATGAAGATAAAAAGAATGAACAGTAAGGTGAACCTTATACCACAATACTACTAGTTACAAATTTAAGTTCATAAGACTATAAGGGCAAATAGAAAAGGTTATTAGATTATCACTCCCATCTGCCTCAAAAATTCGGGAAATATTGATGCGGGAATAAAAAAAAATTTTCAATTATTTCAACAGCATAAAAATAACAATGCAATTTTTTGACTTCAAATACATTTTCTTTAAAAAACTATAAAATTTATTTAAACCAGTTTTTATACAATATTTACTATTACATACCAAATATAAACAGTCCCTCATCATTGATAAAAAAAAAAAAAAATATAAGAGTGATGATCTAATAATTTTTTCTATGTGCCCTAAAGTAAAACAATAATGTACAGATTCCAGCTATTACATTCAATTTGAATGATTCAGTCTTAAAATTTAAAACATTGAAATACTCCACATAACCATAAATGTCCATAATCACTAAGGAATTCTAACTAAATGTTGCAGTGGCAACATCATGAGTATATTTCCCGCATGATTAAAATCCCAACAGTACAATGTTTGGACTACAGGTACAGGTCATTTCATTCATAGAGAAAGCCTTTTTAATGGAGAAAGTGTACCTGTTGTTAGCCATAGTAGCCTAGGTCAATACATAAAATCGAATTATAAGATTGAAAAATATTAGAACTTCAGTATATCCATGTTTTAATTATTGTTATCTGTTGTTATATATATTATTTATATTTAAATTTAATAGGCTAATACCTAGTGTGTACTGTAGAGTATAAAATTATGAATAAAAATTATGAATAGAAAATAATGTAAAATGTGAAAGAATAGACGAAGAGTGGGAGAGAAACTCGGAGTGGCTGAATGTTTTCTCAAAAAATAAAATATAGTCAATATGCCATTATTGCATTACATATTTTTAGCAAAACAATAAAAAGGGGGAGACTCAACTGGCTGGGCCATCTACTGAGACTACCAGAAAATGTACCAGCAAAAATCGCACTAAATGAACACCTAAGAAAAGCAAAAGGAAACAAAGGTCAACCAAAACACACATGGCTGCAACAAATAAATTCTGATCTGAAACCCATAGATAAAACTTTAAACACACTCACGCATGATAATTATATTAGGCTCATGGCTTGAATAAGCCGTATCGGCCCAGAGAGAGAGAGAGTTTTTAGGCACTAATCATCAGAGTTCTCGGTGCCACAGCCTACACTTTTCATAATTCGACATCGAATCGTACCTTACCAACAGTTTGAGAGGAGAGCTCTCTGCCACATTCTAGCGTTTTGTTTCTACTACGATGAGAGAAAAAAACTAAGCCTCCAAAAATTGATTATCCAATTATAGTGTACTTTTGGTTGTAATGTGGTTATGCGTTATGATTACACTTAGAAATTTCAATGTCTAGGGAAATTTGGCATATATTCATTAGGGATAGTGTTTGGTTAAATTATGTATGTGGTCCCTACAGACTGCCAACTTTTTAATAGAGTTGTGAGGTGATCTGTCTGCCCTTTTCCCAAGCCTTCTCATTCACATCATCAAACATGTGAACGGAACATAAAGACTGATAATATACATCCTTGGCATTCAAAGTGTGAACACAGGTTTGTGTAAAGATTAATAATCAGACGATACTTAAAAATTGCAATGAATTGCCGGACTATTTTTCCTTAGGGCCTTCTTCTGAATCGCACTCATTGTACATGACAGTGTAACGTTAGAACAGATAATGTGAAGCCTTGAAATAAGTAGAAACTCAATTATTTCATACATACTGTAGTATTGAGCACATCGCTTGTAGTTTGTGAAACATGATCAGTAATTATCTGACATTAAAGGATGCATAACTGTACTGGATGCCTTCATGTGCAGCTTCCTCTTTCTGGATGGTATCATTGATCTTGTCAGTGGAAATTAGATAAGATGACGCAAATCCTTTCCATAGTACATTCATTATAAATAATGAAAGAGAGAAAGGAGAGCTCATTTTGAGTGTATTAACACTACCGCCGACAGGGGATTCAGACCTGCAGAGCCCCTGAGACAAAACAAACAAATTTTTAAAAAATCAATAACGTTAATATGGAAAACAGTATTTAGTGTCTTTGAACGTTTGTATTAGGAATCTACAGTTAATACATGAGATGCCGGACCCCGGGGACAGTCCCCACTGTGGGCTCTGCCCATGGGCCATGCTGTGTATGCCTTAGTCGCTTCCCAGAACCCCGCTTATGGGGACCCCAATTATAGCTACACTGCCACTGGGCTTAGACTGCCTACTCTCTTCCCCCCACCCACAACCTTTCCATTTTATTCTCAATTGAAAATGAAATATTTGAACAGATGATGCAAATGCTTGACTTTAATTGGAGCTTAATTATTTAATTCATTCAGTACATAGGTAGTAATTAAAAAAAAAACATGATCAATAAATCTTGTGTCAAATACCTGAAATTGCATTGACTTTCTAGGTTATCTCCCCCCCTTCCCCACCCCAACTCCTTGCTCGATCGATGGAACCATCGAATGTGAGAACTTGAAATGAATAGTATGTCCACTATATTTATTCAATCAGTACAAATGGTATCTCGTAATTTATGAAACATAGTGAATGACCAGGTAACAATTAAATACTTAAAATTACAATGACTTTCCAGACTGTTTTCCATATACCCCTCCTGCTTTCTTTGAGATGGCACCAACAAATGTGCTTGAAATTAATAAGTCAATTATTTCATTCATTCAGTATATGTGGTATTTCATAATTTATGAGACATGATCAATTATTAAATATGGTACCTAAAATTGCTATGAATTTCTATACTGTCTTTTCTTTATACCTCCCTCACACTCCTTTAAAAATTCTTGACATCAACAAGAACTCAATCATTTCATTCATCAGTACAAGATAATGATATGATCAGTAACCTTGTATCAATTACATACCAAAATTTCCTTTGAATTTATAGACTGTTCCCCTCCCCCCCCAAAAAAACTCCTTTCAAGATGACACCATTGAACTTGACAATTAAACATGCAGTGATGTAAATACGTACATACATGACAACACAATTATATCATTTGATCATTGAGTACATAGCAAATAGAAAAATAATTTATGAAACATAGTAACCATTAAAAATTTAAGTACATAAAATTGCGAATGAATTGCGGAAGTTATGTCTTCTCTTCCCCTTTTTTTTCTGGCGAGCACCGTATAACATGACAATGCAACCTTGGAACAAA